CTTGTTACTAGGAAAACTAATGTTGGAATCTCTTCTAATCTTCATGTTTCCTGAATTCATATTAACAGAAGGGAAAGAGACCAACAATCTCATTTGTGGTTATTCCAAATACAGCCTCATCTTCATCTTCATCTTCATATTTGAGCACTAAGTTTAAGAGCAAAATTCATCACAGAGCAGAGAAAAGGGGCACATTTTAGCAGTTAATCTTCAGGACAACTTGATCCGACCTAAATGCTTTGTAATCTCTCGTTAAACAAAAGCTTTAGCTTCTGTGATCCTCCTTTTTATCTATCCTTATGAAGCTTCCTGAGGCTGAAGCTGCTGCTCATGTTATTTTTATAAACAGCATAGATCTCTGCCCACAAATAGTTTTCCAAGGGTGATGGCAGCAGGGTCAACTTAGCTCAAGTGTCAGGAGTCATATTTCCCTCCCTTTGGAGACACCTGCCCAAGCAAAGCCCAAACATCCTTTGCTTGTATTCTCACTGCACAGACTTCCTGTTACTGAGCACCCAGGCAGCCAAGGGCCCTGGCTCATTAAAGCATGGCTGAGAGACTACTGTGTCTGTCTGCACCTTCTGTTCTTGAAATTCCAAGAAAAGCCTTCCATTTGTCCTGTTATATGCACTGTGCTGCACTGTGCCACACTGTACCCCTGTCTCCACCCAGAGTCTGGTGTGTTTGGTAGGGTCCTTTGGTGGTTGTGAAATTTTGTTTCTCTTCCTGAAGGGAAACATCAAGGAAGTTCAGGCTCTATGACTCCAGACTGATACCCTAAGGAAGAAATAGTCCAGCCAGGATTGAAATGGCTCATGCTGGCCCAGTCACTGTGAACTTCCCAACAGGCATCTTAATTTTTTTCAGGCATCTTTAATACATGCTCATGAAAGCCTGTGTATAGAGTCAGTGAAAAGCAATAATTCAAATAAAATCCAAAAATAAAATAATTTAAAATATATATCACTATGCAGAAATATCAGAGAGAGCAATGTGACTGTATGTACACACACACACACACACACACACACACACACACACTCTGCAAGGGAGCAGCTGTCCTTCTGTCTTCTCACAAGCCCATGCTCTAACCACTTGTGAAAGAGAAACAATCTCTGGATAAATCCTCATAGGATAAAGACCCATTTTGACTTTATCTATGACCTAGAACTCTGGACTCAGACTCATCGACCAGAAAGTCGCCATCGCTGGGAATGAAGAGAACTGGATTCTCAACAAGTAGCCTACTTTAATGAAAGGAGTATGGACTTTAGAATTAAAGAGACCTAGCTTTAAATCACTCAGATTCCATTTATTAACTGTGCAACTATAAGCAAATACCTTAAACACTCTGAGCTTCCATTACCTCATATGCACAAAGCTTTTTGGAAGCTTTAAAGATGATGTACATGAGGGGGCTAGAACAGAGTAAGATCTCAGGGAACTGTAGGTAGTTTCTACTATAGGCCAACTCTTACTCTTGTTGGATAAGATACACCATCTCTTTGGGCTCCAGTTTTTTCCCTCTAAGAATCAAGTCTAGGGCTCAAAGATTCAAAACTTACTGGCTACACTTATGGAAGAAAGACTGATGACATAAAGAATTAGGATTTTCTTGACAAAAGTTGATGAGTCTCTTCTTTCTCCTTGGTGTATCTGGATGGTAGATGGGCAAAAGTTCTGTCTACATATGCATAGGTGTTAATAAAATGGGACAGGATGATGGTAAGTCCTTAGGGAAGAAAGTGTAAAATTTCCACTCTCATCTTGGCTTTGTGCTCACTTGCTCTCTCTCCCTCTCTTCTTCTTTCTCATTCTCTTTCTCTCTCTTTCCAAATGGAGAATGGAGAATGTACTGTCTCAGGCTTACATTTCATGAGATTATTAATATGAACATCCTTATAAAACTATAGGCAAACATAAGCTATATTCTTAACTATGTAAACTTATTGTCTCCAGTTTGCCTTGGATATATATTATGTTCAACTCTGGACTGTCCTAGAAAACAGTAATTGAAATGAAGTTAATGTCCCTGAAGTGCCCCATATAAAGAATACTAGGTTAAAGTATTCTTTGGAATACTTGCATTTGGAGAGTTTCCCAAGAGTTTTCTTTCCACACCCTATATTTGATTTGTATTAGACAATTTCATCTGTCATCCAGGACTGCCACTTACTTCCTACAAAGGAAAGTAATGCAGCTGGACTCAGTGCCATCATTTTTAAAATGTGTGCATATACAAGGACTTCCTTGATCTTTTATTTAGAAGGCAGGTAATAGAATTTAGATGGGATTAATCAGTACATAGTTATATGTACACACACCCACATACTGTTTTGAATTGAGTAGCTGGCATTTTTCATTTGCTTTTTTCAGGTGATCAATCTATCCTTAAATAGCTTTCAAAAGACATGAACTGGCCTGGCTCAAACACTGGAGTTTTCATTTCTTCTTATATTGATTACAGTAACTACAATAACAAGCCAATATCCACTGGGTAAAACTAATCTTTCTCATGCTGGTGAACAATTATTGAATTGCATTGACCTATTTTTTCTTTAATGGTGTGAAATATGTTTAATCATTAAAAGTGTCCTCAAATTGCCTGATTCCCACTTGTTTTTCAGCTTGCCAGGGCTCAAGTGAGTCAAAGTGATAACTCCACACACCAAACCTTTTGTAAATGAATTACTGAAAGACAGAACTTCCAACCTCAGAACAAATGCTACAGATAAGATGGAGTCTTAACACTTACACCTGGCCATCTTTAGCATCATTTTGGATTTGTACTTCTGAATGGGTATAATAGTTTTCTGTTGCTGTGTAACAAATTATACAAATTAAGCAAATTTAAATTTAGGAGCTTAAAACAACACACATATTTATTATCTCACAGTTTTAGTGGGTCAGAAATTTGGGCAACTCTTAAATGAGTCCCCTATTTAAGGTCTCACAGGGCTGCAATCAGTGTGTTGTCAGCTGGATTGAGTTCTTGTTTGAAGGCTTGATTATCCATATCCAAACCTACTACCACTGTTGGCAGACTTTACTTTCCTCATGGCTGCAGGATTGAGGGCCCTGGCTTCTTACTGATTGGAAGTTGGGATTGCTCTCAGTTCTTAGAACCTGCCTACAATTCCTCACCATGCAGACTTTCCCCAATGGCTGCTAACTTCATGTTAGCAGGGTGAGTCTCTACAACAATTTTGCTACCAAGGTCATTTTAAATATGGGAGTGACATCCTTTGCTTTTGCCATATCCTATTGGTAAAAATCAAGTCACAGATCCCACCCACAGTCAAGGGAAGGGAATTATAAAAGAGCACAAAAACAGGGAGGCCGGAGGCATGGGGGTAGGGCTCATTTTACAATCTCTCCAATGAAATAGGTACAAAAGGCAAAATATCGGGAAGGGTATAAAGGAGGATTCAGGACACCAACACTCTTCAAGAAGATAAGGTTGAAGGCAGAGGTGGAGACGATAATGTGACCAGCCAAGTAAGACTAACATTTGGCACATTTCTAAAGTCATATTTTTAAAAATATTTGCTCCAGGGGAGGTGGGTTGGGGGATGGGTGAAATAGATAAAGGGGATTAAGAGTACACTTACTGTGATCAGCATGGAGTAATGTATAGATATGTTGAATCGTTATATTATACACCTGAAACTGATATACTATACTAATTATATTTCAATAAAAATTAAAAATATAAAAATATTTGTTCCATGTTTATATAGAGAAAAAATAAAGGGCTGTGAAGGGAGGAAAGAGAAAAAAGAATGCTGAGGACAGCAAATTTGGAAACTTACTCAGTAAAATAAATCCTTGCATTAACTGCCACCCCCTCCTTTAGAAGGTCATCTAGTTACCATCTGCTATTATTCAGTTATGCTGTCCACAGCCTCACCATCCTAACCCAAAGTATCCTATAACATTGTTCCTTTTAACTACAAGTAATACTGATCAAAAGACAAATTTTGGTAAATTCAATCTTCTCTCTTTCAATTCCTGAAGATATAGCAGAGTCTAACAGATCAACTCCCAATAAGACTGTATCCTTAACTGAGCTATGCTTTTATACTTACTAGCAGAGTTTTTAAACTTGGCAATGCAAAGAATTAGGATGGGTAACAGCCTTAACTATTATTAAGTTTTCTTAAAATTTTTTATTATGTTCAATTAGCCAGCATAAGTTTTGTCAAACACTAACTGGAATAACTTCTAACTATAAAGGTGTCTATTTCCAACTGCCTGATTTAGGTTTCTGGAATCTTTACCTTGTTAGAATTCAGGTTTGGAGAATTTACTGTCCTATAGAGAAATTAGGGTGGAGTGTTAATGTTGTGAATGAAACTATAGAACTTCCTATAAATACTTTCATATTCTCTGAAATAAGACAACATATATGGAACAAAAAGGGAATACCAATTATGATCTAGATATCCTAAATTAGCAAAAAAAAAAAAAAAAGGAAAGTAGGAAGGAAGGAAAGAGAGAAAAAGAAAGAATGAAAAAATAAATATACAATTAATTTTTACTTATTATCACTTCCTCTCAGGGTTTTCTTTGGAAATTCCCACCTTGGCCAGCAGAACTCCTGAGGTAAGGGCCCTAAGTAAGGGGAGCCTTACAGTAGTCTACCACCATTTGTGCTACCTGCTTGACCTCTGGAGGCACTGACTTGTGACCCAGGTTTATTGCCTCAATTATTTCAGTGCTTTCTCTCCTTTAGGAGACCCATGGGGGTGGCGGGGTGGGGGGGAAGCAAAACCAAAAATCCTCTTGGTTAAAATTTATCTCTTTATCTTTTATTTTTGATTTCTGAATCATTTTTCCCCTTATTTCCAGATACAACAAAAGAAGTACCTCAAACTCACTGCAACCAAAATATTCATTGTTCCCAAAAAGCTAACCAAGGAAAACTTCATGACTACATTAGAACTTGAAGTAAGGATATCTGTGGCAGAAGAATTCCTGTACACCCAACCCAGACCTACCTTCTACCTTTTCAGCAGGAGGCATTAGCTTAGGTCAGGCCATCTCTTCATAGCCCAAAGTGGGGAAATACTCAAGTATGATTATTTGTTCTCATACCAGTCTCTTGCCAGACTGCCATTTTACTCCTTCCATGTATCAAAATCTGGCTGAGCCTTCAGGGTTCATCTTCAGTCCCTGTGACTCCTCTCTGCTCCAGTGGTCTCAACCTGGGCTGCATAGTAAATCTCCTGGAAGATCTAAAAGAAAAAAAATCCAATGTCCAGATCCCAAACATGTTTATTCAGTTGGTCTAAAATGGAGCATGAGCATTTTTAAAGAGGTCCCCAGGTGATTCTAATGTGCAGCAAGATTTGAGGACTATTTTTACATTTAATTCCATTCAACTTGAATCATCACATTTCCTTTTGTAGTTTAATTTTCCATATTTCTATGTGTAAATTTCTCAGCTTAGAGTTAAAAATCTTCTTGTTCCTCCAACTGTGGATCCTCATTTGCTCATCCAATCAAGAAGAGCTTTTTATCTTTAAAATAGAAAACTGACTCTGCTTGTCTTAAGCTTATGTATAATGAAGGAAAGTGTCACTTTGGGGGGCATGGGGGCTGAGAACATCCTTTACTGTTTAACAACCATTGTGTACAAAGAATATCAAAGCCTTACTTCCTCGTAGAATAGGAGTTAACTGTGTCATGGACTTGAGGGGTTCTTGGCAGAGCATTTGATTTAAATATCTGTTTTTACTCTTGGTGCCACATTAACAGACCTTCTGTCATTAGAGATTCATGTATTTGGATTAGATTTCACCTCTTTAGGAGCTTTTCATTAGTCATAAATAATCCTAGAAGGATTCATTAAGACCTTTGTGTGAAAGCTCACCGGGTCACTGTTGCTTGCAATAAGAGGAGGCATATACAATTACCATTTGTAATAGACTTTGTCTCTTTTCTCTATGCTCTCCATAAAGGCAGAGCTGTGCTTGTATTAACTATTATGTCCCCAGCACCTAACTCAATATCTGGACAAAGCAGATTATAGTAAATGCCTTGAATGAATGAATGAATGAATGAATGAATGAATGCATGATGAATAAAAGAATGAATGATCATGCTTGAGCAAATGGATAGCCACAATTAGTTATGAATCCTGAAAGAATAGAAAGAAAGAAAAAAAGAATTCTTGGAGGAAAAATATTACCATGTCATAGTTTTCCTGGAGTTTGAAGCTTTGCACAACCTTATCTCATAAAGTATGTTAAAGACAATTCCCTAATAGTTCCATTTTGAGGCTGTTGACTTTTTTTGCTGGGATTTCCCCCTACCATCTCTTTTCTTCAATAATATTAATAAAAAGAATAATCAGAGCTACCATTTATTGAGCTTTTACTAAGAACCAGACATTATACTAATTACTTAGGTATTTTTATTGATCCTCTCAATAACTCTATGAGGCGGGTATTTTCATTACCAATTTACAGATGAGGAGACCTAAACTTACAGAGGATATGTAAGTTCTGACAATCAAATGACAGATGTGGGATTTGAGCCACAATCTGTCTGATTGGTTTCATTGGATCCTGATGCTCCTCCTTTCATCTGCTTTCCCTGACCTCAACATATACTCTTTCTCCTTCTATCTCTTTCACATGGTCACACATACACCTTAGGCATGAGGATGCAATTTACCCTCTCTGAATATATGGTAGCCTGAAGAGGTTTGAGTTGGGAGGCTACAGGCAATATTCCAACAATAAGGATCAACACAGCTTCTGGAATTGAACTTAAAATGCACACAGTTTCTCTGCAGCCAATATGCAGAGGAAAATATGGTGAGGTCTTAATGTATTTTGTTCCACAAGGAACAGTGGGAAGGGTCTTGAAACAGCAATTAAATACTCTGCCTCAGTAATCCAGTTGTCATTTTTGCTCAAAACTTATTGGCCAAAGGTGCCTGGGTGGCTCAGTTGGTTAAACGTCTGCCTTCAGCTCAGGTCATGATCCCAGAGTCCTGGGGCATTGGGCTCCCTGCTCAGTGGGGAGCCGGATTCTCCCCCAGCCCCTCCCCCCTGCTCATGTGCTCTCTCAAATAAATAAAATCTTTAAAAAAAATTATTGGCCAGAACAAGCCACATAATCCCACTCATCCACAAGAAGGTAGGTAAACACAATCCTACCAGGTATCCAAAGGGGCATGGGGACAATGTGGTCAGTGGGTAGTACTAATGACTATGACAGGAGAGACTTGATATGATTTATATTTGTAAAGTATCATCTTGGCTATTATATGGAGAATATATCATGGAAGCAAGAGCAGAATAAGCAAGAATACTGGTTTAGGGACTATTTCAGTTACCCAGGAAAGACATGCTAATGGTACGGAGGTTGTTAGCAGAAGCAGGAACCTCAGGTTGAGGTGAGACAGGTGGTGCCGAGGAGGGACCGCCTTGCACTGCCTCCCTGAAACACCACGAGTAGGTTGGTTTGAGGGCTCCCAGGGGATGTCCCGTGGCCTCCTACCCAGCCAGCACCACGAGCATAGGGTTGTGTCCTGTGTGCACATGATCAAGGATGGGACCCAGAGCAGTCTGGTCAAGAGCTATAGCTACCTGCTCAAGTTCTTACTGGTGGACGACAGCGACATGGGCCACGGCAAGATCCTGGAGCGCATGCAAGAAGGTACCGCCTGGGCTGCGTTAAGCCTGCAGTAACCGGATCGACTACCAGATGACTACCATCCTGCAGTGGGGCCAGTGGGTCAAGCTGGGGTTCTCGAACGTGTCTGGCCAGCACAGTTTGTGCACGGTCTTCAGGGGCGCTCAGAGGATCCTCCTGGTGTGTGGCATCACTAACAGCTGGTCCTTTTATAGTGCAAATGAGTGTATCACGGAGATCAATGAGCATGCCCCCCAGGGTCTCCAGGATCCTGGCCGGGAACTTGCCACACCTGGCTTTCAAATAGCAAGTCATGATAGAGCAGGTGTGCCTGCGCTGAAAAGAACTGCCCAACCGTATTCAAGGTCAGCCAGCTGTACAACCTCAGCGTCATCAAGTCCTTCACTCAACCGTCTGGCATCGTGCTCATGCAGCACGGCATGGAAAAGACCTGTTGGCCCAACCAAGTGCTGAGGCCATTGTCTCCTACACTCCTGTACCCCTCAAAGACAAACTCCCACTGCCAGTTACCTCAAGTCCTTATCACTTGGCAACTGCATCCAGGATGCACCTGTGCTGCTACTCACTGGCAGGTGGGGTAGGCAATGGCGTGGCCACAAGGGCTACAGCCTCAGGAGGTCCGAGTCCATCCGTCTCAGAACTGCTTGTGGAGCAAACGCAGTATCTACTGGGGCAGGCCAGATGCGCTCTGGCAGGGTTCGCCCTTGGCGAATGCTCCTGGCCCAGCTGGGAAGCATCAGGACGCGCCTAGTGGGTTAGGCTGTCTCAGCCAGAACAAGCCCCGCCAAGGGCTGCAAGGCTCGTGCGTGGGAAAATAAAGCAGAACAAGTCCAGGGCCCGGTGGTGCAGCAGAGAAGCAGCCAGGAGGCAGTCCCTAGAAACCCAGGAGGCCTGGGTCTCCTTTCTTATTTATATAGATGTTTTACCTCTTTTGTACATTTTTAAATAACCGGCAGGGTTTCTTCGATGTAGCCAAGTGGTTCCCATGTCAGCTGTGGGGATGAACTTGAGACATTTGGAGAGGAAGGGGATTTGAGGCAAAGGCGGGAAGGAATCTGCTGTCAATACTTCAAAGAAAGCTTTGAAATCACATACACTTCACATAAGGGCATGGGGGCTGTGTGGGGGCCACTGGGGACAAGGGAATAAGTGAACCCTTTGGAAGCTTTGGGCAGTAAGTACCACCCCTGGCTACCTGCACCAGCCTTTATGAGCACCATGGGTTTTTGTTTTTTCATTTTGCTTTGTTTTGTTTTTTAAATCAGTGTCTCATTTTAAGGTAGAGCAAACACAACTCTAGTGACGGATTGAGAAAAAGTTTTAAGGGTGATTGATGAGTTTTGGCATGAGCACCTGGGTCAATTAAGCTGTTTATTGGTAGAATATTAATGGTAAGGACTAGGTAGTGAGAATCAAGATGCTTGCTTTTTTGTATATGTTAATTATCAATGCCCAGGTTTACCAGACAAAAGTCCAGGGGAAGGTTAAGGAGTCATCAGCTTAGAGGTGATGATGTGTATACCTGAGAATCACCATGAGACCCGCTAAGAAGTGAGTATCGTAGAGAAGATAGAAGAACAAAATTACTGATACCTTGGACAATGTGGGTAGAAGGTGTGTTTTATTATTATTTTGAATAGAGGAGACTAACAATGCATTTGTATGGTGATGGGAAATGGGTGATTCAGGGAAGATGTGGAGTACCTGCAAGAGCAAATTCCTTGGGAGGGAGAGAAGAATTAGGACACAATAAATTCAAACTCACTTTGAAAAGTATAACATGCTAATTCAGGAAAGTTCTATTAGTAGGAGTAAACTATGCCCTCCAGAAAGAAAAACTCGGTCCTGACTTTAAACTGTCAGTGATAAAGTTTGAGAAAAAAAACCCAAGATGTGCATTAAAAAATTCTGAGAGACAATCTCAAACAACACTAAACTTTCTTCTACAACTTGGGGCGTAGCATCAACATGATATAATTTAGATAGTGAAGTCCAGCTGATTTAGTGACTCTAAAATCCCACCAAAAGAGTGCCAATGCCAACTTCATTGCTAATGTCCTTGTAAGATTCTCCTGCCTCGTTCAAATTAAAAACTCTCCCAAGATTTCCTTCAGTTACAAAACAAAGAAATATGCTCTAATCAACATGCATAATTATGCATATTATAGTGTGAAGATGATCAACTCGTCTCTTGGAAATTTATGGTAACCACGATTTAATTGTGCTTTCCTAGGGTTTCAACACAGCCTCTCTGGTTCCTGGGCAATTTCTTTCCCCCACAATTAGCCACAATTCTATATAAAGGGGAGTGTACTCTCCCCATTCTCTCCCTACCCTACTGCTCTATGATATCAGCTCTTAATACCTGAAAATGTTATTACTCCAATATCAATAATGGCCATTGTATTAGCCTGGTAAATCTTCCATAACAAAATACCAAAGACTGGGTAGCTCCAACAACAGAAATGTATTTTCTCACAGTTCTGGAGACTAGAAGTCCAAGATCCAAGTGTGGGCAAGGTTGGTTTCTCCTGAGGTCTCTCTCCTTGGCTTGCAGACAGCTGCCTTC